TATGGGTGTGAGAGTTGGACTACAAAGAAAGCTGAGCACCGAAGAATTGATGCTTTTGAACTGTGGTGTTGGAGAAGACTCCTGAGAGTCCCTTGGACTGCAAGGACATCAAATTAGTCCATCCTAAAGGAAATCAGTCCTGAATATTCATTGGAAGGACTGATGCTGAAGCTGAATCTCCAATACTTTGGCTACCTGATGCGAAGAACTGACTCACTGGAAAAGACCCTGATGCTGGGAAAGATTGAAGGAGGGAGGAGAAGGGGACGATAGAGGATGAGATGGTTGGATAGCATCACCGACTCAATGGACATGAGTTTGAGTAGACTCTGGGAGCTGGTGATGGACAAGGAGGCCTGGCGTGCTACAGTTCATGGGGTTGCAAAGAATCGGACACAACTGAGCGACTGAACTGAACTAAACTGAACAGATAGAAACTGAGGGGAAGAGAAAAGCTCTTCTCAAGTAGAATTCTAACATTGTAGAAGGAATGATAGAAAAAGATACTGGCCACTAGGTAAATACCAAAGTAATTACTTTTAAAGGTAAAAACCACCAATGCATGCTAAAGTGGTAGGTAAAACAGTATGACAAATGAGACACTTGCATAGTCTCAAAGGATCACCCTGTAAGACAGTGATTGATTACTAAAGCAAAGATAGCAACTTTACTGTGGAGAAACCTGGAAGATACCACCTTAACCAAGTGAACGAAGTTAAAATCACCAATCATAAAACAGACTGACATCTATATCACCTGATATGGTGCAGTAAGAGATATAAAGCATCGCTTCCGAGGCCAAAAAGGGAAAAACCATCACAGCCATGAGCAAACAACAACGCACCCACCCAAAGTGAGGACCTTCCACAAAACAACTGACCAGAATTCTTCAAAAGTGTCAAGGTCAAAAACATGTCAAGGTCACGTGAAAGACCAAGACTAAGAGAACTTGATGAGCTGCCTCAGGCTGGAGAGAACAAAGGAGACATCTGCCACCCGGACCGACGCAGGTCCTGGACTGAATCCTGGACCAGATAAAGGACATCTGTGGGAAAACTAACATTAGTTGACAGTATTGTATCAGTGCTGATTTCCCAGTGTGGCTAATTGTGCTATGACTCCATAAGACGTTAACATCAGCATAAATTGGGTGAAGGGTAACATGGGAACTCTGTCCTATTTTTCTAATTCTTTAAGTCTAAAATTGTTTTTAAGAAAGGCTTAAACCTACGTTTCAGTAACTTTTCACTCATATCTACTTGTTATCATTAGCTTACCAATTAAAAATTGAACATTTGATAATTATCTTCCTATTCAAAACAAAAAAGGAGAATTATGTTAAAAGAATTTGGATAGCAACTACAATCACTATAAAAAAATACCAGACACACACACACACAAATGCTAAACATGATCAAACTACCAAACTAAGAGGAGTCGGTTCCTTACTTTAAGTACCACATGGGGTCAGCATCACTTGTAACCTTTTCATTGGCTTTCATTATTTTCTTTATCTGCAATGGAAAGAGTAACATGAGGAAAGACTCTGGCTTCCAGTTCATTCGTAATCATATCCTTTCCCAAGATCTGATCCTTACCTCTACATTAATGAAATAGTTAAATGAATCTATATGCTGTTTCACAAGGCCTTTCACCTAAATGGATAAAAAATAAAAGCAGGTTAGCAATGAAATAGCAGATTACACAATGGGCTTTAACCTGATCTATAAATTTTCCCCAAAACCAAAGTGACCACAAAAAATCCATGAATTTTACTTGGCAAAATTTTCTATTTTCATGTCCTCATTCCATTCCTCCTCCATCTTACTAGAATACCCTCAAACTTTCCTCCCTGAAAAACAACCTGATGTTTGGAATTCAAGATATATACCTAATGACTCCACATGAGCTAACAAATTAGGCAGGAAAGAAAATCCAAGAAAAAAATACAGCAATCAAGCATCATCTCTCCAACCCCCAAACAATTCCTATTTTCTTTTTTTCTTGCTCCTATGTAAGCGATTTTATGATTTCCCCATATCTGGTCTTTCATATCACTTTTAGAAGAATGAGGGGGAAAAATAAGGATCTCTATTAAGGAAACCAAAAATAAATGCATTTAAAATTGGAAGCAAGGTGAATCCCAGGGACCCACGAACAGATCAGCTCCAGTGACTGCCTTTCATCTCAAAAGTAATACAGCTACACAGACAGTGCTGTGTGCTGCTGGGAAAAACCCTGAAATGCTAAACACAGACTCCAAAGTCTTAGGATTTAAAAGGACTGTAAGTGTTCAACTTTTTACATTAATGTTCAAACACAATTAGCTCAACACTTCTAGAATACACCCAACAGAAAGCATCACAGGGCCTCTGCTTTAATTACACCTCTTTTGAGGGATCTCACTGGCTTACTAAGCAGCTATTCCATTTTGAAATAGTCCTGATTGCTGGGGGGAAAAGTTAACTCTTATAATGATCTGTAGTCTAACATCCCGCAGTTTCCCCCCATGGGCTTAATTGTCTTTTCTGAAGAAAATGTTTTCTCCACCACAGTTCATTTAGTTCTCACATCTCTTTTAGGTCCTCTCTTCTAGGCTGAAGAGGCTCTTCCACTATTTCTCACAGACATGCTTTCCAGACTCTTCAGCAGCCCATGGACCGTAAAAACTGGTCAGAAATCTGGCCTTAAAGATTCCCAGCCTCATCTGCCAGCACGCTCCCTTCTGCCAATAATACAGAACTGAGATGGAAAAAACGCAACACATTTTTCAACCCTCTACTCTTTCACTGAGCATGTTTCCAAGATTCATCCACGTTGTAGCATGTATTGGCACTTTCTATTGCCAAAAACATTACATTGTATGGATATATCATATTTCATTTAGCCATCCATCAGTTGGTATTCGAGTTGTTTCTATTTTTGGCTATTATAAATAATGCTGCTATGAACATCTGTGTACAAGTTTTTGCATGGACACATGATTTTGTTCCTCTTCGGTAAATACCTAGGAGTAGAATTGTAGGATTATACAGTAACTCTATGTTCAACCATTTGACAAACTGCCAGGCTGCTTTCCAAAGCAGCTGCGTCTCCATTAGCAGAGTGTGAGGGTTCCAATTGTTCGGCATCCCCACCAGCACTTGTTATTGTCTGTCTTTCTTGACTACAGCCATCCTACTGGGTGTCAAGTGGTCTCTCATTGTGGAACCTGCTACTATTTAGCATTAGCTCTTTAAAACTGAAATTCAATGATAATAGGAACCTTAAAATCTGTACTTCCTTTGTCTGAACGACTCATCCACTCCAGCCAAGCAGACTGGACTCTGTTTTCAACGGACCCCGTGGATCCTCCTCTTGAGGACTTTTATTAAGCCATGCTCCCCGCACGCTATCTTTCAGCTTAGGTAATTCCTTTCCTCTCGGTGCTGTTGTTTAGCAGCTAAGTCGTGTCCGACTCTTCTGCAACCCCGTGGACTACACTCTGCCAGGCCACTGAGCCAAGTGGGAAGTCCTCCGCTCCTCTGAGGGTGTGGTTTACGTCTCACCTCCTTTAGGAGGCCCTTTCTGACCACCTGTGGCATCAATCTTCTGCCAGCAGCACTTTGGTTTGTATTAGTCCTATGCCAAGCGGCAATGTAAACTACTTCCCACCTCTAAAATTAGATTACAATCCCCTACCTAGTACTTTATAGACAGGGTTACTGCCTTATAATTTCTCATATTTCTACAACTTAGAAAAGTGCACAATTGTACAAAGTCAAAAAATGTTGGGGACAAAAATTTAATTTTAAAAAAGACTTATTTCTTGACTCTTGATTGGAAAAATAACTGTTATTAGATATTAATTACCTTTAAAAATGCTGGAAGCAGCCGCCATTTTTCCTGTGAATCAGAACAATAAAAGTATCAGAACTCTGTGTCAGCAGTCACAATATTTTCATGAGGTTATTTTAATGTACCAAAAGTGACTTACTTTATCACAGTAAGCAAAAGAAAGGAAGTGGAAACAAAAAGAACAATTTTTACATTGTAACCTTTTTATGCCAATCATATATGTACTGTACATGCACAGCATACACACAAGCATATATAAACCACAGATTTCTTAAACAGAATATACTTTAATCTCTTTTTGATGACTCAAGATTCCAAGCACTTTTCATCTTTATTTTATTCTCATGACTCTTCCTGAGTAAGCAGGGTTTGCCAGTTTGAGAAAGGGAAAGTATTAGTAAGTTTCAGAAAGTTTGGTGGGGAATCTGGGTCTTTCAATCCAAAGGGAGTTTTTTCTCCCTCCTATTTTTCCTCAACTAGCACCTGGTCAGAGCCCAGGCTGAAGAAAGATATCACCCAGTGTTCACCTATTTTAAACAGCTGCAAACTGCCATATTCAGCTCTTAGGCCTGCTCTTCACACCTTCCTGAGATTGTAAACAGCCTACCATGATACAACTCTTCATGAATGGTATCTAACCTGTTCATGGGAAATCTGACAAATGGTTAGAACTGAGTCTAAAGTAAGAAAATACAGTTTCTGAGTAAGAGCCCAAGGATCATGTAAGACCTTGTAAGAAACTGTAAAATTTTTTGACTTTGGGCAACAGACAAGTGCTAGAAGGTTTTGAACAAAAGAGTGACAAGATGATGTGATCCATTTTAACTGGATCACTCCAGCTGCTGGGGTGAGAAAAGACACAGTTAGACACAGAGGGATCATCTAGGAGTTTGCAAAACTCTAGGCTAACAACAATACAGATAGTGAGAAACTGCTGCTGAGGAAAACACGATGTGAAGTTAGTCAACAGGACTTGATAGCAGATGAGATGCAGGAATCTGAGAAAGAGGAATTGAGGCTGATACCCTAGTGCTGCCATTTCTGGAGATGAGGAGGCAGGGATGCTGCCGGAGCAGCAGGTTTAGCATGAAGGAGCAACCTTCTTAACATGGCTGGTGGCAGGTTAAGTTTGAGATATCCATTAGACAAGCAGGTGGAGATGCCAAATAGACAACAAATCAGTCTGGAACTTGGGAAGAGTCCCCTGGAGACCTAAATCAGGGAAAGTCAGCAGACGATGGCAGGGGAAGTCATGAAACAGACGAGATCACCTACAGAGTGTAGGTGGAGAGGTGAGATCAGAAACACTCCACCATTTAGAGCAGCAGAAAGCACACTGAGCAAAGAGAATCGAGGAGTGGCCAGAGAGGGAGGCAGACAATCTGGAAAATGGAAAAACATTTTTGAAGAAAAGGTAAGTGGGGGCAGGGGTAAATAGAAAATCTCTGTATCTTCCTCTCAATTTTGCTCTGAACTTAAAACTACTCTTAAAAAAAGTCATCTTTTTCAAAACAAAATTTTTTTTAATTGAAGGATAATTGCTTTTACAGAATTTTTTTGGTTTCTATCAAACATCAACACACACACACACACACACACACACACACGAAAGAAATGAGTCTGGCAAAACTAACCTATGATGACAGGAATCAAATGGTGGCGTAGGGCTCAGACTGAAAAGGGCACTTTGTGCAATGATGAAAATGTTCTATATCTTGTATGGGGTGGTAGTTACTTGGGTATACATAACTGCAAAAACTAATGTAAATGAACACTAAGTAAGTACTTCTGCATTTTACTGGATGTAAATCTCCAAAGAAGAACGAAAGACAGGCCAGAATGGGCTACATGAGGAGAGCAGAAAGAGCCTGAGGAGTTGGGGTGGGGAGGGGACAGGTGGGGAGAAACAAGTTAGAGAGTAAGCAGTGGCCAGATTGAGAAAAGCCTTAACAATATGGTAAAGACTAGATTTTTGTTGCCCTGAGAGCAATGGGCAGACTGAAGAATTTTAACCAAGGGAGCAATGTGAACATATCTGCATGTTTAAACTGATGGCCCTGGTGACAGAGCAGAGAACAGACTGGAATGGGACAAGTTAGAAGCCAAGGAAGTAAGAGATGACAGTGGCTGACTTGGAGAACAGTGGGAATGTCAGAATTGAGTACATTTTGTAGTTGGGGCCCTTAAGATGGGATGATGGACTGGATGCAGAGGGTCAAGAAGAGGAGCTCTTATTTCTAAATCAGAAGACTGGAAGCATGTTACTGGTCCCTTCACGGCTGTGCAAATTCAGAGAAGAAACAGAAATCCTACAGCTCTCTGGAGAAGCAGTTCAGTCAGCAGTTAAGGTCAGGAGCTCTGGAGTCTGCTGAAATCCAAAATCCCCAACAGTCACTTAATGGCCTTCTGACACTGGGTTAGTTACTTAACTTCTCCGGGTCTTAAAAATCTTCATTGGCAAAATGGGACAAAAATATTACTTGCTTCATAGGATTAAATAACATAATGCTCATTAGGTTTGAACAGAGCTGGCACATAGTAAGTGCTCAGTAAATGCTGGCTCTTAAATAGCAGTTCAAGAGTTAAAAATTCAAACCAGCTATACTCCAATTTAAAACAAATAAAGTTAAAAATCCAGTATCACCTGATGAAAATCAGCATGTACGAAGGAGCTCGGAGACTGAATCTAATAGACTGATTGTAATTCCTCAGAATGTAATTTGCAGAATGATTATAAAGAAATAGATTACATTTCTTAAAAAACTGGAGATAGAACTGCCATATGACCCAGCAATCCCACTTCTGGGCATACACACCGAGGAAACCAGATCTGAAAGAGACACGTGCACCCCAATGTTCATCGCAGCACTGTTTATAATAGCCAGGACATGGAAGCAACCTAGATGCCCATCAGCAGACGAATGGATGAGGAAGCTGTGGTACATATACACCATGGAATATTACTCAGCCATTAAAAAGAATTCATTTGAATCAGTTCTAATGAGATGGATGAAACTGGAGCCCATTATACAGAGCGAAGTAAGCCAGAAAGATAAAGACCATTACAGTATACTAACACATATATATGGAATTTAGAAAGATGGTAACGATAACCCTATATGCAAAACAGAAAAAGAGACTCAGATGTATAGAACAGACTTGTGGACTCTGGGAGAAGGCGAGGGTGGGATGTTTCAAGAGAACAGCATCGAAACATGTATATTATCTAGGGTGAAACAGATCACCAGCCCAGGTTGGATGCATGAGACAAGTGCTCGGGCCTGGTGCACTGGGAAGACCCAGAGGAATCGGGTGGAGAGGGAGGTGGGAGGGGGGACCGGGATGGGGAATACATGTAACTCCATGGCTGATTCATGTCAATGTATGACAAAACCCACTGCAATGTTGTGAAGTAATTAGCCTCTAATTAGCAACTAATAAAAATTTAAAAAAATAGATTAATTGATCTTGTCAGTCATTCTCCTGCTTAAACCTGTCAATAGCATCCTAGGCCTCCTTCAGATGTCTAACAAAACCTTTCATTACCAGGACCCTTATCTGTCACCTTTAATCTCTCCTCTACTTTTTCACACTCCAATACTACTGGATTTATTTTTATTTCTCAAAACTACCACATGGCCATGCCTCCAGGTTTCAAGTGTCTTGTTCCCGATACGTGAATCTCTCCCTGGGCTATTTCTCCATGTCCCCAACCGATGCCACCTAAAATTTTAAGTTATATGTACCTTTCCAGAAAATAAAATTACATCAATAGCTGAACTTCATCAGGCAGCTCAGAGTAGGACAGTTATCCTTAACTTCTGAGAAGCTGATGAAAGCTACAGGGGTACTCCCCAAGAAAACACTTAAAATTTGGAGTAAATCTTCTGGGTACTTAAAATACTCTTGCAATCCAAACTTGAGTTCCCGGTGAAAAGGAGAAATTACTGACCCGGGATTCAGACGATTTGGTTTTAACACCACAGCCAGCGGTGGGAACCTAAGCTCCCTGGACCTCAGCATCCTTTACAAGGAAGCAAAGATGCAATACGTCCCCCAAGGTGGGTGAGTCAGTACTCCCCTGACAACACACGTAACACTAGAACGGCTCCAACTCCGGAGCCGCGGGCGGGGCTGCTAGGCCAGCGTGGAGCCTGCCAGCTCCCCCAGCTCAACCATTGCACATGGGTCCAGCGGCCGGCTAGGCAGTGAACCCGCGGAACCCCGAGCCAGCGCGGAGTCCTGAGCATGCGCGGAAGCCGCGGCCCGCCCCGCTCCACCGCCAGGACTCTGGGGGCAACGCCTCTCGGGGACACATCACAGCCCCTTCCGCTATTTACCCTGCACTCACCTCTACAGTTGGGATCGGCGCAGCCAGCTGCTCCGGGGTCAGGTTCCCAAACTCTTCCGCAAGCAGGTCCATGCTACTCACGATGAAGCAAGTAGCAAGCAGAATAATCACGTGCGCCTCCCCGGCGTCAAGGTATCGGCAGTACCAGTGGAAAGCTGTGCGTGGTGGCTTAAAGGGTCCCCGCCGCGCAACTTAATAGGAGGAAGAAAGGTTCCGCCTGCTGTCAGTCGGAACCTGCGGTTGAACCCGGATGTGGCTGAGGCGGAGCCGGGAAGCTGCGCCCTCTGGTGTCCATCGGAAGTCTCGCGTGGGTAATCTGAAAGCCAGGCAGGGTTGTCGGTTCCTGCGATCTCTGTCAGTCCGACTCCTTAGGAGCCCGCCAGACTCCTTTGCTATGGGATTATCCTAGAAAGAATACTACAAAGTGTTAGTTGCTCAGTCGTGTCGACTCTTTGTGACTCTATGGACCGTAGCCCGCAAGGCTCTTCTGTCCATGGGATTTCCTAGGCTCCAGAGATCTTCCCGACTCAGGAATGAAACCCCGGTCTCCTGCATTACAGGCAGATTCTTTACAGTCGGAGCCACCAGCCCCAAGAATGCTAGAGTACGTTGCTATTTCCTCCCCCAGGGGATCTTCCCGACCCAGGGATGGAACCCGTGTCCCTTGCTTCTCTTGCACTGACAGGCGAATTTTTTTTTTTTTTAAACACTGCACTGCCTGGGAAGCCCCCAGTTATCCCGTAATTGAAGCCAAAAAGCATATTGTTTTAAAAATATTTCACAGAAAAGGGTAAAAGGAGAATTTGCACAACTTGAGCCACGGAAGCATAGGATTCATTTAATTTAGCCCCAAACTACGCGTATAGTATGGAAAAGTAGGAAATATACCAAATACCTAGTAGGTGGGGATTGGTTTAAAAACGTAAGGTACGTGCGTGGTGGACTGCTATACAGCCATTAAAATGACCACAAAATGAGGAGGAATTAACTTTACCTAGAAAATAGAGCATAACAGGACAGCAATAAAGATAGTGTTATATTCCGAAAGGACTAGGCAGAAGATCCAGGAGTAAATGTCAGCATAAATTTAGTATGAAAAGGTGACATTTTAAATCAGTTGGAAAGATGCTTTTCCAAAAAATGATGTTGGAGCCATTGATTAGCTGTTTTGAGAGGGAAAAAAAAAATATATATATATAAGTAAATCCTATATGGATTAAATATTTAAATGAGAAAATTTATAAATATTCATTTGCCATTCTGAATGTCTAACCCTTGTGGCGATAGTAGTAAACAGCTAGTCTGCCAATGCAGGAGACACCGGTTCAATCCCTGGGTCAGGGAGATCCCCTGAAGGAGGGCCAGCAACCCACTCTAGTATTCTTGCCTGGAGAATCCCATGGACAGGGGAGCCTGGAGGGCTATGGTCCATAGGGTTGCAAAGAGTTGGAGACAACTAAAGTGACTTGGCATGCACACACGCATCCCTAGCACCAGGTTAGTCTAATTTTTTGTTGTTGTTTTGTTTTTTGTTAAAATGAGCATGGTTTTCTGATTTGGTAGGTTTGGGTCTGCAAATTTGCATTTCTAATAGGCTCCCAGATGATGATGCTGATGCTGCTGGCCCAGTGATCACAGTTGAGAGTCACTCTGTAATGTCATGTAACATAAGGTTATCACTCGATCCCATAGCCTGTTTATGTGTTTACCTCTCCTTCTGACAGAGAGCACCTGGAACAGGGACTGCCTTGTTTGTCTTCATCTTTTCAGGTTCTAACTTATTGCTTGTTCCTAAGTAAAGTTGTGTTGAATAAATGATTTGGGGGAAAAAAACATGCATTGAGTGATAAGTTCAATTTTTCATGTAATGCTTTTTAAAATTCTGATTTTTTAAAAGTCTCTCTTGAGGAGCATCTGGTAGCAGTGGTCCCAGAGTCCTACATGGGAGCAGTTGGCTGACACTAAGCGGTGTCCACCCTGTTTACACCTGCCTGGTCCCTGAGGTAGGGGCATTTGCATCCTGGGGTCAAATCCATTGTCTTTCTGATCCCCTAAGGCAAGGGTTCCCAACCTCCAGGATCTAATGCCTGATGATCTGAGGTATAGCTGATGTAATAACAATAGATAAAATGCACAATAAATGTAATGCACTTGAAACATCCTGAAACCACCGCCCCTCTCCCCGCCCCAGTCGATGGAAAAATAGTCTTCCACAAAACTGGTCCCTGGTGCCAAAAAGTTTGGGGACTGCTGCCCTAAGGGGCTGGATTTTTTAATTCAAAAGGCCAGAAACAGTCTCCTGATTTCTGTTTTCTGCTGTCCTTTTCCTGAAATATTGGTACAGAAAAGATATGGTGGTTTGAATATAGAGGACTGGGCAATTAGGGAAAGGAAATCACAGAAAAATGGTCGACATCTTGGAATACTACCCCATCACCTAGGTATGAAGTGTTGTGGTTCTCAGATGGGAAAATGACCAAAAGGAGGAGAACCATGAACATCAGTTAAAGAAGAGCAAGGAAAAAGGGAAAGCAGAGGTGTCAGAGCTGAGCCCTGGAACGTTAGGGAGCGTTTCTGTTGACTGCTCTTTGCCAGGCTTTGGAATAACCACTTTTTTACATTCTCTGATTTAATAACCAAGGGAGAGAAGTATGATAATCCCCATTTTGCCAGGTGAGGAGACTAAGGCTCATAAGGTTTGAGAAATTTGCCAAGCATGGTTGGAATCTAAATCCTCACTTACCTGAGCCCATGTTTTAAACCACTCTATTGTGACACTGAATGGATCAGGTAGAAGACATCGAGCAGAGAAAGACAGCCTGAGCAAAACAACGTGGGGGTGTGGAGTGCATAATACTATCAACATGTGTGCCGGCTGAGTGTAGTTATCCTACAGGGCCTGTCTAGGGACACGTCTATAGATCACACCAGAAATTGTCATTTATGCCATGTTAAAGAAATTAGAACTTGAGAGGCTTCAACTTGAAGACACTAGAAAACAAAAGAAAAAGATGACCCTCTCTCCTTAAAAACCTTGGTACATTCAGACTGGGGGAAAAAAATAAGTGATCCTGATTTCTATATTTGAATAAATTTATAGCAGAACTAGAGAAAGCCCAGATCAATGTTGGAGCAGGAATAAGGGTTCTTCAGTCTGAAAAGGCAAGGGCAAAGGGGATCCTGGAAATCTATTGTTTCACAATCAGCAAGGCAAGGAGAAGCCGGGAAGAAGTCTCTACTGTAATCAGAGAACATTTTGCATTTTGAGCAAGACTGGATGGCCCAAAACCTCTAGTTGCCTGCCAGGCCCACAGGTCTTTCTCTGAAAAGCCTTGCTTTGTGTCATGTTACCTACACCAAAGGGAAGAGAGTTGGGGAGGGGTATCCATAGTGACTAGTGGCAAATAGACCCAATCATTTTCTCTCTCCTGGTAAGTTTTCAATGAAGACGAAAGGGAAGGGCAACAGGAAACAGAGGCAGAGAAGTAAACAGCATTTGGTAGCATTACAACAGTGAAACATACCTTTGATTGGATGATCTAAGGCAACCAATATAGAGCATAGTTAACACATTCCAGGGTTAGACTCTTTGGGCTCAAGTTGATTATCAGCTCTGTGACCTTAACCTCTCTGTGTCTCATTTTGCACAAATGGAAATAAAGATAGAACCTGCCTTGTAGCAGAGTTGTGCAGTTATATGAGTCCATTTATATAAAATGCTTAGTCTATGTGGTAAGTAATTATTTGGCTAAATTCTGAAAGAAAAAAATTATGTTCAACTTCTCTATCATGCCTGCAGGTGCAACTGCTGGCAGATTCCCAGGTTTCCTTTCTTCTTCTTAAATTTAAAGCCTTGTGATAAATCCCTAGGTCCCTTTCCCTTGAAAGCTGAACAGGGCTAACATACCAAGCTTAGACATGAAAAGATAAAGTTTCACTTGAAAAAGTAGAGAACAAGAGGGCATAAGTTGCTGGTACAAATGTACTTTCTAAAAGGTTAGATTAAATCATGGAGGATAAAGTCATACCTGATTTACTAAATGAAACTGGAACATGTTGGGTTGTGTCACTATCCTTTGAAGTCGACATCAAGGACAATAACTGCAGTCTTTACATACCCTTGACTTTCTCTGCCAATGACAATATTGGACTTAATGAACCATGGTTGTGATGAGAGTTGACAATTTTTGGTCTTATGTACTTAAGTACTCGATCATCACATCTCACAATACTAAAACCTCTTGAAGCTTGAAAGAGATTTAGGACTAATAAATTAGCTTTTGTAATGTATTCTGGCCACATTATGCTGAAGTTTGTAGACGATTTCAAATACATCTCATTTGACTCTCACTAGGGCTCTGTGATGGAGAAGTTAATGGCAACCCACTCCAGTACCCTTGCCTGGAGAATCCCAGGGATGAAGAGCCTGGTGGGCTGCTGTCTACGGGGTCTCACAGAATCAGACACGACTGAAGTGACTTAACACCAGCAGCAGCAGCAGGGCTCTGTGAAGCAGGCAGGTAGGGTAGGAAATCGATGTTCACGGCGAGACTAGAAGGCTGACTTGAGGTCATAATAGCTGAGAAAAAGAAGTGAATTCAAACTCGGGTCCCCTGACTCTCAATCCCCTGCTACTTTTACTGACTAACGAGTGGGAACTGTTGGTACTTAACATCCCCAGATGTAGAACAGATTGAATTTTAGTTTTAAGGAGGATTCAAGTGAAAAAATATATGTTGCAGAAAATGTGGCAGGCCCCACACTCATGGCATATTTTGCCAATCAGCCACAGAATTCTTTACTGCTTATCCTGGATTTGGCTTCAAAATCCTCTCAACTCGGTGCTCTGGGGAGCTAATACTAAAAGATCAGAGCAGACACATGACTTTAAACTTACTTTCATAGAAAAGAGGATTCATAGAGCTTATTCAAGGAAACTGGTGGGATCTGAGGTAGAAACTGCTAATGCTTATCAATACCCAATACCCAATACCCATGTCCACCTCTTTTCTCCTGGACACATCTTCCTGACTTGCTTGCACTTAGAGCCAGGTGATTTTGAGTTCTGGCCAATGCACCATCAATAGAAGTGGGCAATCCATTTATTTCCCCTATCTTCTGAGTGATTCAGGAGATGCTGAAGGTTTTGAGGCCTGCTGAGTTATAAGATGGATGGAAGTTGGGTCTTTGAGTAGCTGGATTAAGGTCCTCGATACATACACCAACCTTCCCTAAACTTGGAACTACAATTTGAGAAATAAGGCTATGCTGAGACCACGGTG